AGAACAGAGAGGCACAACCAAAGCAGGTGACACAGACAAACTTGTTCAACTAGAGAATGAATAATTAATAGCACTATCATTGAAGTTGATGGAACTCCGTGCAACCCCCAGCAATGGTTACACTGTTTGATAGCTGTGTAGACTTTGAGTTTTAGGTTCTGATCTATAATTTGGGGTATAGGACCACCTACTTTGTGGAGTTGTTGTACAGATTAAGTTAAATAAGACCGCCTAAGCAAAGACCTTAATATGTGTTTGACATAGAGTAGCTACTTAGTAAATTACCACTTCTCCATTTCTCTTCCACTGCTAAACCCCTTCCCACTCTTTATTTAAGAATCATTCAAAAATATTTACTGAATGCTGACTTTGTGCCTAGAATTGTTGTAGGCACTTGGACCACACCAGCAGATAAAGAGGCAAAAATCCAGTCCTCAAGGAGTTTATATTCCTCAATTACAGCTCAGTTCTTCCAAGTTTGGGTTAGAAACCTCTGAATTGACAATGGATGGATGAACAGATAAGTTGATGAATAATGAAAGTGAGCTGCTATCTGCTGTTCCTGGTTTGCTTTATATCTCACTTTCTCCAAGCCAAAAAGAAGGGTTAGTTTTATCCAGAGTCTTTATTTATTAGAGACAGCTGGAGATTCAGTACAGACCCGAGGAGTATGGTGCCCAATGCAGAAGCACTTGGCAGCCGAGCCAGAAACAGAAGTGTCCTCACTCCTTCCCAGCCAGACACAAAAAGACCTGGCCATGCATTTCGTGTTGCTGGACTCCAAGAGCAGGTCTCAGGAATGGTCTGCGGGCTGGTAGCCTGTGAACTGTAATCCTGTCTTCTGCTTTCTGTACCTTGAACTTCAGCCAGCTTGGATGCAGGTCTGAGCTCTAAAATCCTGCCTCTGCATTATTACAGCAGGTGGAGTAGTGTGGCTGAAAAGGTGGGATTTCGAATTAGACCTGGGTTTTAAGCCTGACTCTGACATGACCAGGCTTCCCTGGTGGTTCATCAGTAACAAATCTGCCTGCTAATGCAGGGGACATGGGTTCTGATCCCTGGTCGGGAAGATCACCCGGAGGAGGAAATGGCAGCCCACTCCAGTATTCCTGCCTGGGAAATCCCATGGCCAGAGGAGCCTGCTGGGCTATAGTTCACGGGTCACAAAGGGGTCAGACACAATTGAACAACTAAATAAAAACAAGAACTGCCATTACCAGCTGTATTAGGTCCTTTCACTAGGACATGCAGAACCAGTAAGGTCTATGCTGGGTACTGATTTAGAGACAGTCTCTGCCGAGTCCCTTTTACTATTAAAAAACAACCAACCAAAGAGAATGACTCACCTAAGAACAACTCCTATCCACAGAGAAAAGCTTTATATGTTGTCCCTTCATTTTACAGGTAGAAAAAAAAAAAACAGAAAACAAAGGTGAAGCAACGTGCCTTCAAGTCACATAGTGAGTTAGGAGCGGAGTCAGCATGGGTCCCCTCTTCCCCTGTCAATGTCAGACCTCATTTAATGGAGAGCTTCCACTTAAGGGAGACAGTCCACAGTTCTCCCCTGTGCTGGCCAAGAGTAATCAGTCTACGAGAAGCGTCCATCGGGTAAGCACAGAAGCCTCTCCCTTCATCAATGTCATACCTTGGGAAACTATCTCCAGTATAGATAACAGAAAGAATAAATATTTTTGTTGAGAGAAAAAAATGAAGACAAAGGTCAAAGGGAATCATGTAATGGGTTGAGTCAGGGAAGAAAAAGAAAGCTTTTTTTTTTCTCTCTCCTCTTTTTCTCCAAAACAGTCTTTATATAGAACTTGTCTAAGAGCCAATTTATTTGATATGGAAAAAATGTGAAAGCACTCAGACACACACACACACACACACACACACACAAAGAGGTATTTGTGCTGGAGTTTAGAACTCGAATTACCAAGAGATAAAGGAGTTGAAATAGTAGGTTGACTTGGAACGATATTTTATTTTTTCAGAGTCTCAGAGAACTTTCAAGTCAGGAAACGGAGTCCGGCCCAGCCCAGGTCTCCAATAAATTCCTTGGGACTCGAGAAAGACAAAGAGGAAAAGGTCAAGGAAGGACTCAGTCTAGCCCTTGTGCCTGCAACACAGAAGGGACCAAAGAAACATTTGTTGAGGATGAAAGGACAAATGGTGCACAGTCTGGACCTGAAGAGTGGTGATTTGGGAAGCAAATTGGCCTAGGACCTGGCATTTTTACCAAGTGGTTAAGGTCTTCAGCAATAAAGTGTGAGTGTCTAAGGACAGAGGACTGAGTCATTTCTGAAATCTATAGCTCCCAGCACAGACTACAGCACCTAGAATGCCCTCAATACATACTTGTAAATTGAATGAGTAGTCAGTCGTATGAGTAAAGAGAACTTGGAGCTTCCTGGGGCTTAGAGATCAGTGAGAATAATAACTATTAAACTTCAAACAGCATCAGAATCATCTGGAGACGACCTGTAGGCAGAGTTTCTTAGTCAGCAGTCTGGGCTGCGGCCTAAGAACCTGCTCTTTCTAAATTCTCAGATCCTGTTGATGCTGCTGGTCTGGGCCACACTTCAAGAGCCTGCTTTGGTGCAGAGTTTCTTAAACTTGGCTGCAAGTCAGAATCAACCAGTGAGATGTTAAAGGCTTAAGAGTTATGCCTCATTCTCCTATTAAATCAATATCTGGGGCAGGACCAGGAGGAAAGAGGAGACGGGAATGTAAATAAGCTGGAGATGATTTTTAAATGTCCCCAAATTTTGTAATGTGCAACTCAGTCTGAGAATCCCTCATCTAATACAACCTCCTCCTTGTGGATGTAAGGCCTCTGAGGTCCAGAAAGAGTAAGTGACTAGTATAAGAACATATGGCAAGTTAGTGGCTTAGCTGAGAAGAGAATTCAGGGTGGTTTTACTTCTTTGGTGAAATCTACCATCCTGTACTTATCAACCCATGTGAGCTCTTGCAGGCTCACAGCTCCAGGCTAAGGAAAACAAAAAAAGAGCTGTGTCTAAGTTGAGGTTTTAAGACATCTATTATTTCTTCTCTTCCTTGTTTTACACAGAAATGTTAAGTGGATGCATATTTATAGAATTTTACCATTCTAGACAAGTGAGGAGATGGAAGAGACGGGGTTATGCAGGATTCTCAAGGCAAGACGATCTTTTAAGTACATCCTCAAACACAAACCAAGGGCTCCCTCTGAGTTCTTAAACAGATGTTCTTCATCTCTGAGTCAATGAACGGGCAAGGGTTTGCTTGCAATGTGCACGTTAATTGCCGGCCTTGTAAAAGGAAGTGCTGGTAAAGTGTCTGAAAGTGGTTCTGTCTCTTAAAGAGATTAAAAGTTTCCTCCAGAACTTGGTTTCTATTAATAACTGGCTTAGCACATATTTTCAAACAGACAGAGCAGAGATTGTGTCTTATATCTTCTTAGAACCAAAGAAAGTGCAACAAAAGGCCCATAGTTACCATCGACGTCCACGTTTTCATCAGTCAGAGAGTAAATCAAAACTCAAAGGGATTGACTGATTTATCCAGCGTGAGTCAGCAGATCAGCTGGGACTAGACACAAGGTGTCTGACTCCTGAGCTATTGTTCTTTTCAGTTCTCAAAGTGTTCCCTATCCATGTCGCTTGTACACAGAAGAGGCAAGGTTCAACAGATGTGACTTCATAGACTCTTGGTATCCATACTAGGTGAGGCTAAGGCCCCCTCATTTGTTAAATTAAAGCAGAAATTGGGATCACATCTTTAATTGAATAGTGGTTCAGTGCACTGGCTTCGGAGCCAGGATGAATTCCAATCCTGACCTCACCACTTCCTAAGTATGTGATCTTGGACAAGTGACTTCACATCTCTAAGCTACAGTTTCCTTCTGTAAAATGAGAAGGAGACTAGGGCTGTGGTTGTGGAGAGGATGAAATAAGTCAAAGATGCAAAGACATTAACCCATGGCTTGGCAGAGAGGAAAAGCACTAATGGCTTCATAGTAAGGTGGTGCCTGTCATAAAACATAAATCCTTAGGATATTTGAGGAAGAGGTGATAGAGAGACATCTTGAGAAAGGAATATTAAGAACAAACATTATCTCACATCCAAGCAATGAGTACCCAGAAAGAACCATGGAGACCTAGAGCTGTGAGGGCGCCAAAGAATCAAATGGGTATCAACCTCTCTTCCACACTGGAAAATGAAGATGGTTACTGGTTATGCTCACCTGCCATCATCATCCCACTCCAGTACTCTTGCCTGGAAAATCCCATGGACAGAGGAGCCTGGTGGGCTGCAGACCACGGGGTCGCTAAGAGTCGGACGTGACTGAGCGACTTCTCTTTCACTTTTCACTTTCATGCATTGGAGAAGGAAATGGCAACCCACTCCAGTGTTCTTGCCTGGAGAACCCCAGGGACGGGGGAGCCTGGTGGGCTGCCGTCTATGGGGTCTCACAGAGTCGGACACGACTGAAGCGACTTGGCAGCAGCAGAAGCAGCAGCAGCCATCATTATTTTTAAGCAAACATCTGGGAACATGCTCAGTTTCCAGCCAACCTACTGTAAGTTCACCTTTCCCTCAAAAAGCAACCACAGTGCATGAATATGCTTCCATGTAATCTAAAAAGGAGATCATTAGCAAACTCCAGTTCTTGTATTTCCATTACTAATAAGTGACTTTCTCATTGCTAATCTCATCCAACCTCCTTCATTTCACTGTTGGGAAAAATAAGCTACAGAGAGCTCAGAGAGGCTTAGAGTCCCATGTTAGACCTGTCACCAGCATTCAGGACTCGTGGTTCTTGGTCCGCTGTTCTTCCCACCATATCAACTCCGCCTTGTTAAGACAGGTCTACACCCAACGCCAGGCGACAAATCCCCAGAGGTGAGTCTGTCTGTGATCACCCTCCCTCCAGTGCAGGACACTCTGACCCTCCTGGCATCCCTCTGCAACCCCCCGCCCCCTACCTGACCACCCCCCTGTCCAGAGAGCACACTTACGTGTCTGTGAACCTTCTACCGAAGTGCAGGGTGGAGGCCACGTCCACCCGGAGAGGAGGGTCCCGCACCACCTTGTACCGCAGTGGCTTACACTCCAGGCAGAGTGGGCTGTCTGCCACCGAGGTCAGCATGGCCGCGTCAATCTCCAGGTGCTCATCCAACGTGTAGATCTGGACGCCATACACCTCCTCGCCCACATCCCGGAGCTTGATGGTCAGCGGGACATCACAGAAGATGTTCTGAGGCCCCAGGGAGATGTTATTCCCACTGACACCCAAGAGTTTGATGTCATTGACAGCCCCACTAGAGTCCCAGTCAGTGGAGACAAAGGTCACCCAGACGGTCAAAGACTCGGGGACCAAGGGGTAGCGGAATCTCAGGTCAAGGTGGCAGCCTTGGGGCTCAGGGCAGGCTGGAGGGATCGTATGTGGGTTGACGGCTGAATTGGGGCTCCAGGTGCGGACGCTGGACTTACAGGGCTGCTCAACATCTGGATGACCTGTGGACAAGACATGAGGATATGAGCTCTGGAAAGTCCTCCAAGTTTCCTGCAGCCCTCAGGAGATACTGGCCAGACTAGGACTCAGAGGGAAGGTAAAAAGAGAGGGAAGATTCTCAGTGTCTTGGTGAATCAGCTGTACTCACGGCACCCCTGCTCATTCCTACCCCAGTGACGTGGATCCGAACGAACTGAATCACGAGACGTTTGGTTCAAATTACCTTCAAGTAAGTTGCTTACGATTGAGTCGTGGCCCAAACTACCCCTCCTCATCTCTCACTTGATGGAAAGAAAGAAGGGATGCACGCTAAACACCCACTATGTCCTCTGAACCAGTTTAATTCTTGCGAGGACTCACTTCTGAGGTGAGGCAACCAAGGCTTAGAGATGTGGAGTGAGCTAACCAGAGTCTCACAGCTTGACGTGTAAAGTCAGCACTAGAGCCTAGTTCTGTCTCACCCTGAAGTTCCTCCTTCCCCAGACTGAACGCGAGAGCCGCTAATACGAACAAGACTCCCTCCGGTACAACCTGCTTGTAATGACAGAAGGGCCAGAAACCTCCAGCGAAGAGGAGGTGAGTTACGATAGCTTCTGCCTCTTGGGCTGAGTTTTCTTGGACGGAACTGTCTAGAACCACGAATGACAGAGGTGGAAGACAGCCCTGGAGCCATCTTATCTCTTTGCCTCCCCTTCTCCACATGAGGTCATTCCACACCACGGGGCTTCTCTGAGCTCTGTCCAGTCGGACTCAGGGAGGGGAGGGCTGCTTAGGAGCAGGGAGAAGGAAGGAGAGATTCTTCCAGTCTTTCCCTGGGGAGACGATGCCTCATTCCCCACTGATCTCAGCCTGAGCAGTGACTTCTGGATTTTTCTCTGCTGAGATCATTAGTCCTAGACCCTCAGAGAACTCTCCTTTGCACTGCTGAGAAAAGTAATCAGGACTCAGTGCAACGACTGGCTCTGATTTATTTAAGGGTGTCTAGCAAGAGATGCACATCAGCTGGTGAGGGGAGGATGGAAGACCTCAGGTTTTCCTGTGAGCCACATTCTCTTTTTTCCTCCCTTTAAATCAGTGGTTGATAGGGGTGGAGGTGCTGGATATTTCAAAAGCAAAAGGGGGGAAAAAACCCATCAGTCGTAGCCTGAAAAGGCTTTATGATAATGTTACAGCATAATAAGAACCAACACAATATGAAAACTAGAAACCAATTTTGGGTGGAAAAGCATTCCAGGGAAAGTTGTTAAGTATCTCCAATGCCCTTGCCTCTGCCCAGCCAAGGGAGCAGAGAGACGATGTCCAGGGGAAAAGGAAACGAGAAGAGAAAAAGGGGGGAGAATGGGCAGGGGAGATAGGGGAGGGGCCAAGGACAAGGAAAATTCAAAAGACTCATCAGAACAAGAAGACATGGATATGACTACAAGGTTCCCTCCACCTTCCCTTGGCCAACTTCATTTATTACTTGTGGCAAATGCTGGATAAAAGAGAGCAGCTGTTCATGGCAAAGGCACAAGTAAGGCTGAAGTCTTTCTTCTCGTCAATTCTCCAACCCAAAGAGCTCCTGATCCTTTTGACTTTGTGGGTCTTTTGGTACTCAAGTAGCACTTAATCATTCACAAAGCCTTATCAAGGGCAGTGTTTCAATACATACAAGGCACATTCCTTAGCCATTAATGTGTTCATCTGATTCTCACCAAAATCCTGTAAGATGGTTGTCATTTTTGTCTTTTTTTTTTTTTAAGTTGTGTTTCACTCAGTTGCCATGTTCAGTGCTTTAGGCAGAGCCTGGTGCAGCAACAGGGAACACAGTGGACATTAGATAAATATCTAAGTGAAGACTCTTATAGTATGTTCATGTGGAGTTAAAGAAGTGAAGGACCCAGGGACTATGAGGGCCTGCTACGTCATGGCATGTTCCAGGTGAACACCCCCCTGCCCCCCACCGAGCGTCCTCCTGGAGCTGACAAGAAATGGAGAGATCTTTCTCCCTTCCTTGGAGAAAATGACTTTCAGTGGTGGGAAGCCACAGGAGAGCAAAGATGACAAATCTCTTTGGCTCCGACTTTCATCCCTGGTTTCTTGTTAATCAACAGAGAGACCAAATGCTTTCCAAAGGATAAGAAACTAAGCTTGATCATTATGCTCAAGTAAGTAAATGGGACTAGAAATATTAGCAAAGTGTGAGCTTGTCTGGTTATCAGAACAAACTTTTAGGTGTTAAAAAAAAAGAAAAAAAAAAGAGTTTCAAGGGGCACTGAGTCCCTTTAATAATACCAGGCTTCACACACTGACCATAATCTGCGTGCTGGGCGCTGTGCCAAGCATGTTACATGCCTCAACTCTTTTCATCCTGCCAATAAGTCTATGACGTTGGTCTTATGAAACTCATTTTACAGAAGAGGAAGCAGAGCCTCAGATGGTTAAGTAATACCATGGTGGCGAGCAGAATACTATGTGATACTGTGGGCCCAGAGAGCATGCCAAACTTTGAAGGAATAAAGTATGGGTTAAAATATCAATTATATAGCTTCTCACCATATCACCCACTCTAACATTGTCTACCCCACAAGGGGTACTATAAAACTCAAACGGGATGAGACATTTAATAGACGAACATATTCACAAATACATCAGCTCTGCTTTGACACATATGGGAGAATTAACAAGTAAAAGCCTGGGAAGAGGAGATATTCTAAGCAAAGAGAACAGTTAAGAGAGAAAGTGAAATAAGATGATTGTGGCTTTGAGTGCAGTGGGAAGGCAGTAAGTGGTAAGGCAGGCAAAATAAGTTGAACCCAGATTACGAAGGGTCTTGGGTGTCACTTTAAGGAAACTGAACTTCGTGCTAAGGCAGCTGGGGAGTTAGTGAAGACTTTCAAGCAAGCAAATGAAGGTTGTCTTTCAGAAAAACCAACGTTGAGAGTCACAGATACTCTCCATCCACCCATCTATCCATCCATTCATCCACCCTTCCACCCATTCATCCATCCATCAGTCCACCCACCCATCCATCCATCCAGAGAATGGCTGCCCCTGCCTGTGTCCAGGGCTAGGTTATAGTCCCTGGAAGAACGGGTTTTGCAGACATGGTCTCTGCTCTCACGGAGCTTCCAGTCTAGTGAAACCAGTTAAGAAACTATTATATCAGTGCAGATAATACACAACTCTTGCCTGTACCTAGGGAACATGAGCGGCAATGAGGACAAATCAGGGTCCCTAAACCGGGAGGCTGGTAAGCTGTGTGGTGACAAATCTGGGAGAGGGGTTGAGAAAAGGAAAGGGAAGGAAAGGTGGAGAGGAGGAGGATAGAAAGGCAAGGGGAAAAAGAGGGAAGGGGATGGAGGGAGGGGAGAAGGGAAGGAAGGGGAAAGGAAAGAAAGGAAGGGGCAACGAAGAAAAGTACGTAGGAACTGCTACTTCATTACAAGTACATATCTTTTTCATATGAAAAGTCACGTGTATATAAGCAATCCACTAGAGATCAGGCAATATACGTGTGTGAAATATATTTATACAAACCCACGCTGATTTAAATGTACATTTATGACAATCTGTACAGACGTCTATTACATATCTTTGTGTATATACACTGCAGCTGTTGACACAAATACTGTTTATAAAAACTCGGTGCCAAGTTTTTTCTAGATGTATACTTCAGCACACCTGAAATATTCTGGGCACAAAAATGGGGAAAAGATTCACACAAGTAAGAAAAAATGAAAACAGCCGGAGCCATTCGTTACCCTCTCACGTAAAACCCAGCAGTTGCAATGTATTATATGCTTGCATAAGTGATCTGAATTTGAGATTTGAGTCAATCAGATCTAGCTATCTGATTCCTGAGCTACAAGCGTATCGTGGTGTTGAATACCTCAGAAAATATTCATCTGTGAAGTACAGTTTTTGCTCAAGAGAAGGGGAAACAGGGTTTCTTTTTGGTACAACCATGTTCTGTGGCCAAAGGCAAGAATTTCTGTGATTACATTTTTCCTGAAGTTCTCAAGATGGAGTTAGTGGAACATAGTGAATATGCCATAAATGTTTGTTAAGTGAAGAATGTTCTATCTTGTTAATGTGGAGCTAAAACTATGAGGTTGTGGCTCTGTGGAATATCCTCGCTGGAAAGGACATTCTGTTGATAAGATGCTATCTTCAGAAAAGCAAAGTGACTCACTCAAGGGCACAGAGCACATTGATGGCCAGGCTCAGACCAAAACCCCAACCCCGTCATCCTCCCCACACCCATGCTCTTTCCCCTACCCCAAAGATACGTCTGGCATCGCTCACAGATTGGGGAGTTTTATGTTAGTTTGGGAAGTCCAAAAACTTAAACACGCAAAGATAAATAGGATGAAAATGAGTTGAGAAATACACTGCAGAGCTTGGCTCATGGAAAAGTTTATTTCTTCAAGAATATTAAAAGGGTCTGAGCCAAATGGATCACAGAGCCTGTAATAGGATGCTCTAAAAAAAGAACAGTGTCTTTTCCTGGCCTGAGTGTACTAAATTTGCATATCCTAAAGGAAAACCCAGGGCTGCTGGGTTTTCTTGGAGGCCTGAGTCAACTCTGGGTACAGGGGAGGTGGTTCAACACTGCTCCACAGCTCCTGCTTTAAGAGGGTCAGGGATGCACCAGGAGCAGACCTAACCAACTGACAGTTTGGTCGGATGGTGGTGTGGGGTGATGCCAGGGAATTCTTTCATTCATTCAAGTGATGGGACAAACTAAGACGGTTTTAGCCAGAAAAGTCTCAGGGTAGAGTCTTGCTACTTCATCCACCCAGTGTGCATGTCTGCGTACTCAGTCATATCTGAGTCTGCAACACTGTGGACTGTGGCCCACCAGGCTCCTTGGCGCATGGAGTTTCCCAGGCGAGAATACTGGAGTGGGTTGCTGTTTCCTGCACCAGGGGATCTTTCTGACCCAGGGATCAAACTCACACGTCTTGCCTGTTCTACATTGACAGGCAGAACTCTTTACCGCTATGCCACTTGGGAAGCCCCATCGTCCTCCCAAATCTCTTTCAATCCCATTGACTCTTCTCCAATCTCACTGCCACTGACCTCAGCCAGGCCACCACCGTCCCTCTCCTGGGTTCCTGTAACAGCCACTTAGATGCACCCTTCTCCCTCCCCTCAACCCCACCCCAGGTCTACTCAACCCCCAACCTCTTCATCACAGAGCAGACCAGGCGATCTTTTATAACAGGCACATCTCACCATCTCCCAGACCCATGCCAAGGCACGTGGCATCTCCTTATGACCCTCAGAGTAATCCAAACCCACCCTCATCTGGTCATTACACGTCTCACTCCAGCTCAACCGCTCCCTAGTCCACACCTTTCTCTCCATACCCATTTAAGTTCCTACCCCATTATTGAAGAGCTTTTCTTCTTGCACATAGTATCTATGTCATTACCATATTGTGGATTAAAACTGAGAGACTTTAAAACACAGGAACACATACGCATGCATCCCGTTAGCTATCTAAGCAGAAAAATATCACATACCATGCAGTCACTGGGAAGCACCTCTGGAAACTCAGGAAAGAAAGGGAGTGAAAAAGGTAAGCTGTGTCACAGTATTACTATGAAAACATCTTTTCCTTGGAGGACATACTAAGAAGCCTCAGGAACCGCTTAAGTCTCCAGATCACACTAAAATAACCAGTGCTCTCAACACAGTCAACTCCTCTCACATTCTTGAATGCACCTTGCTGACTGCTGTGCTGACATTTCCTCGGCGGGGCGTGAGTCTCGCTTTGGGATGAGGTCCCCCACTTCCTACTTGTCTCCCCACACTCTGTAGGTCCATGAGCACCAGCCTCATCACACCAGATGGAGAACGCCCCGTATACTCATCTGACTCCCGTTATCAGATAGCCAGCTCTGCAGAGAGCCCGGCACGGTGCCTGCCTGGTGCATATAGTCCCTGCGGTGGGCAGAGAGGAGATGGGTTTGTTCCTTGTATGGACGAGACATAGAGCTGCTTCTGGGAGAACCCAACGTGGGTTCAGTTTGGGCAAAAATGTCACCACTGCAGATTTCAGGAAGAACTTTCTAGCAGATGGCGTAAGAATGGGGAGACCAAGGAAAGACAGGAGCCAGTGCTGGGTGGGCACAAAGGGGATTCCTGCCCTGGGTGAGAATTGGGGTCAGATGACCCCAGGCATCCCTTCCACGTCTGACAGCTCGTGATTCTGTGGGGCTGAGCTGAGGGCTTCTCCCAGGCACCCCTCGGGCTTTACATTCCTGACAGATCTGTTTAGAGTTCCCCAGTTCGACTCCTTTATATTTCAAGCTACTTTAGAAGATAACAGAGCACAGTGTTGTCATTTTTCTCCCTCATGTTTCCTCTCTGATCCTTCCGCCTTGCTTTATTCTATCTCTGGCTTTCTCTTTTTCAACCTTCTTTCTAAAAATATAGAGGAGAACGGGGGAGTTCCTGCTGAACCTCAGTGAAGAGTCAGATTCTGCTTCCTCTGGTGGCTGCGGGGCCCTACTCAGAGACGGTTGGCATGAGCCGCCCTGCAGAGCACGATGAAGGATTTGGGGGGCGGGGGGCTTCTGTGTAGACGTCTCCGAGGGCAACAGAGGGCAAGACGGAGGGCTGAGATGGGATGTGAGGTTTCTGCCAGCCTGGCTTCAGGGACTAGACCTGCGCCTCGAAGAAAGAGACACCACACAAGGACCCAGAATAGGCAATTGGCCATGAGATTCGCTATGTTGCAAGCTGTCTTGCTTCAGGGCCAAGTGACAGGGCAACAGAGCATTGGATAAAAGACACTTTCTTAATTTCTCTCAAAAACTGAAGGGCAGTGGCAGTGAGTGTAAGGCAGCAGAGAGACTGCTGGTCTGCAGGGAGGCCTAGCGACTGCCCCGCCCCTAGCACGGAAGGTCTGCGGGTGAAGCCCACAACCATGGCCGTCCAGAGGAGCTTCCCTCCAGTGTCTTGCTGATACATGGATTCTGAAAAGGAAATGATACGGCAGGAGTCCAAGAGGAAGAAATGCAACACATGGAAGACTGCCTTGGGTATTCCCAGAAATAACTGCAGAAGAACCAAAGGCTCGTGATGCCTTGAAGTCCTCCAATATGCATGTTGATTCTGATGTGAGCTTGTTGGTACCCACAGGCTGTCAAGGTCTAGGGCACAGACAAACACACACACACAGGGTGTCTTAGCAGGTATGTGGCCTTGGGGACTTTATTTCTCACGGGCTTTGCTTCTTCATATGTAAAGTGGGATGACATACCCAGGACAGTTCAGGTGCTCAAAAAGACTTGTGTTGAACAAATGCATGAATACTGGCCTTGATGTAGGGGAAAGGGTACAAACTCCTAGCAATACAATGAATAAATTCTGGAGCTCTAATATATAGCAACAACAATCAACAATACTGTATCAAAAAACTGTGTAACAAGTAGATCTTAAACGTTCTCACTGCTCCCCTCCCCCTGCGGGGGTGGGGTGGGTGGGGAATGTGTGCAGTGATCCCCCCCGCAAAAAAAAAAGAAAAAAGTGTGCAGTGATGTGCATGGTGACTTTACAATAAATGTGCTCTGCCATGCTAAGTCACTTTAGTCGTGTCCGACTCTCTTCGACTCCACAGACTGTAGCCCACCAGGCTCCTCTGTCCATGGAACTCTCCAGGCAAGCATACCAGAATGGGTTGTCACTTCCTTCTCCAGAGGATCTTGCCAACCCAAGGGTCTATCAATCATCACATTGCACACCTTAAACCTACACAATATTAAATGTCAATTATATCTCAGAAAAAATTCTTTTTTTTTTTTTTCACTCAGAAAAAAACAGACCTAAAAAGAAGAAAAAAAAATACTGGGCTTGCGGGGCGATCTTAAGATCAAATGAGATGATACATGCTGCTGCTGCTAAGTGACTTCAGTCGTGTCCAAATCTGTGCGACCCCATAGACGGCAGCCCACCAGGCTCCCCGTCCCTGGGATTCTCCAGGCAAGAACACTGGAGTGGGTTGCCATTTCCTTCTCCAATGCATGAAAGTGAAAAGTGAAAGTGAAGTCGCTCAGTCGTGTCCGACTCCTAGCGACCCCATGGACTGCAGCCTACCAGGCTCCTCCACCCATGGGATGTTCCAGGCAAGAGGACTGGAGTGGGGTGCCATTGCCTTCTCCGGATGGTACATGAGAAAGACCATTAAAATCACAAAGCTCTATCTCCATTGAAAGAGTTCACACACCCAACCTGCAAAAGAGCCCCAGCCTGGCTTACCTTCTGCTTCCCGAGGGCTCCAGTGTCCCGATGGGCCGCAGGGCATCGGGGAGGAGGCGTTGAAGGCGTACTGCACCAGGAATCTCCCTTCCAGGCAAAGGTCACATGCTGATCCCAATTCTCTAGGAGGCCAAGGAGAGAAGGAAACGCACCGACTTAGGAAGGGTTGAATGAGTTCCTGACTCAACTGAGCCAAAGATGTAGGTGACAACACATCTGCTATCCTATCGTCCTTATTCTCCCTTGGGCTGTGAGGAGATCCAACCAGTCAATTCTAAAGGAAATCAACCCTGAATATTCGCTGGAAGGACTGGTACTGAAGCTCCAATACTTTGGCCACCTGACTCGAAGAACCGACTCATTGGAAAAGACCCTGATGCTGGGCAAGACTGAAGGCAAAAGAAGAAGGAGCCAGCAGAGAATTAGAAACTTAGATAGCATCACTGACTGCATGGGCATGAACTAAGCAAGCTCCAGGAGACAGTGGAGGACGGAGGAGCCTGACGAGCTACAGGCCATGAGGTCACAAAGAGTCGGACGCGACTTAGAGGCTAAACAACAATAATAAGTCCTCCCTATCTTTGTCAGAGCTTCCAGAATTATGACTATAAGTGAAATTCCTCCCCACCACTCAGGAGGGCCTTTCTTGGGTCTAAGGGTCTTCTGTTCTGACGGTGGATACACTTAAATTTAAAGCAGCCCAGAATCGACAGGTCAAAGACTTACTACCCACACTATTTCTTCATCAGTCATTCAAAGTTCCACTGCAGATTTGACATGTGGTTGTAAGAAAACCTTTTACCCATTGGACCTCAAATTTTATTCTTTTAACAATCTCTGTCTGGTACCTACTATGTGCAGGAATTATCAGGATCCTAGGTGTTAAATAGGAAGATGGAATGGTTCAGTTCCTTCAGCTGAAAATGACTGGGCTGAACTAGACGGTGCTTAAAGAACCTTCTAGCTCTGACATTCAGGGGATAGATGAGTCACTCCTGGATTTTACAGTCAAAAGCAGTTTCCTTACCATGCCATCTAATTCACTTCAGCAGCTTTCCAAGGGGCAAGCCAATCCCTCAACGGGACAAACCCCAGCAGTGGAATATGACAGTGGCTTTCCCCACCAGCTAGTATCTTATGTGTCCTGGATTCAATCTCCCTTTAACCACAGCAGCCTTTGGGATCCTACTTGTTCTCCAGACGTGGCCCCTGTTCAGGAGAGAGCTGCTTGGAAGGGAGAGGGATAGCCCTTTTCTTCTGTACCAAGGTGAGCAAGCCCAAAACTCTGAAAATCTGAGCGACTTCTGCAGAGCAACTGGAGAGGAAAAATATCAAGAAAGGTCATAGCCCAACCCGTTATTTCTCAAAATGCAATGGTCCTGCAGAAATCTCCTTCCTAAAAGAACCACCATCCTTCAAGCCACTGGAAAGACACAAGGGAGGGGCCGTATCTCAAGCCTTAGGGCTTCTGCTTCGCAGGGAAGCTCCACAGCCCCCGGCTCACGTGCTCGCTAACATCACAGTCTGCAGGTGGTCTGGTCCTCCGTCACCCAGCTGCCAGGGAGCTCATCCCCAAACCTCCGTCGGAATACTTCATGCCTCTGCTCATCTGCTAATATGATGACCAACATGTGTAATTTAATGGCTGGATGGATAGATGGATAAATACCAGTCACTCCAACATGTTGCTAAGACTCATGACTAACCTAGTGTAGACCCTCAAATTGCATATTCTGCATCATCAGCATTATCATCATAAATATGAAATCATGCTGCTGCTGCTAAGTCGCTTCAGTCATGTCCGACTCTGTGCGACCCCACAGACGGCAGCCCTCTAGGCTCCTCTGTCCCTGGAATTCTCCAGGCAAGAATACCGGGGTGGGTTGCCATTGCCTTCTCCAATGAATGAAAGGGAAAAGTGAAGTCGCTCAGTCGTGCCTGACTCTTAGTGACCCCATGGACTGCAGCCCACCAGGCTCCTCCATCCATGGGATTTTCCAGGCAAGAGCACTGGAGTGGGGTGCCATTGCCTTTTCTGTATGAAATCATACATAGGTATAATTTTATAAGCACACTAATACTTAGTGATAGGAGAATGGTTGACCAGTCTAAGGTCAATCTGCTCAACGGAACAGTAAGCAGTTGTTACAAATATTCATAAAGTTCATTAAAATTTATGGAAAATATGTTATAATGTTAAGGGAAGAGTCATATTCAAAACTGTACTTTATAGCAGCATCTCGATGCTGTTCAAATAACTTAAGTGACAAAATACTACCAGCAATTATTTCTAGGTGGTGGAACTCTGGATGATTCCTCTCTCCCTACTTCCATTCCTTCTGGTCTTCTGAACTTTCTCTGTATTTTCAGCATGTATGAGGTGTTCCTGAACTAGCAATGATGATGATTAAACACATGTACTTGGAGGCATAGGATGAAGAGTAGAGAGAGAGGTTCTCAGCACCGGTCTGGTTCCATTACAAGGACCACAATCCATGCACAGTAGCTCAGAGTCACAGGACTGGCTTTATGACGACAATGAGATTAGAAACATCCCTGGAGGAATCACGATCGCACCGTTCTTAATGGTAACTGAGCTTTCTACTCTAGATGCCTTGCTTTAGAGGAAACACATGTAGTCACCTGCACTTCACTGAGTTCTTGACAACTGTAGGTTCCCTATAAATACTTTGATGAACTAATAAACCGTCACCCACCTGACAGTACATGGGCCTTATTTACACGGAGTTCCACAAAGAGTGTTCCCTCATGCTCAATCATGGGTTAGCGTGTTCATTCAATATTTCACCTGTTCATTCACTGGACACTCATTGAACAATCTCTGGTTGCTAGCACTGTGCAACAACCAGACACTAACCATCTTTGATGTGGTACCTGCCCTCACAGACCCTGCAATCCAGCAGAGGCAACAGTCCATAAACAAACAGGAAAGTAGTGTATATAAAGTACAGGTTGAATTACTGCTAGAAGGAAAGTTGATAGATGATGCAGGGGTTGTGCAGGGCTTAAGATGGGAGTGATGGTGGCAGACCCTAGTGCAGTACGGTGAAGAATGACACCAGGATTGGGAGTAGAGCCGCCCAGGTTCAGTCTAAAGGTGCGTAAAGGACCCAGGCGGGAGAAAAGGCCTCGGTCCACAGAGGTCCCGAAGGAAACGCGAGTGGCAAGAGTCACCAATGAAAGAAAGAGCAGTGCGAGAGCCAGTGGGACAAGCAGGCAAGGACACAGGATGGGAGGTTCTGCAGACTCCTTGCAGATTACACATGAAAGTAATGGGAAGTCACTGGAGGGTTATACCATGGGTGACATGATCTAATTCACATTTTTAAAAGATCAGCCTGAATGATGAACGAAGAATAAATTGGGAAAAGAAGAGCACAGGTAAAAGCAAAGTCAGGAAATAGAGAGCAAAGGTGTGATCCTGCATATGGTGGGTGATGTTCCCATTTTACAGATAAGGAAACTGAGGCTCATGGGTGCAGAGGAACCATACCAAGGTCAAAGCTCAGAAAGTCACAGAGTCAAAACAGACTTTACCAAAACCATGCCATATCCTACACATTCAGGGTAAGTAAAATGTGTTTCTAATCTTTGGCATTTATTTGATTTTAATGGACACCTGTACCTACACAGACAAAAATACACACACACAGACACACACACACACACACTGAAATCATAGAAACACAGGATGCTAAAGTATGCTAACACTGGAAGAGATCACCTTTCTTACTCAGGGTCTGTGAGAATTAAAGTTTAAAGCTCCAAACCTGTGCTGTCTACTTCAGCTGCCCCTAGTAACATGTGGCTATTCAAATCTAAATGAATTAAAATTAACATAGAATTTATTTCAGTTCCTCAGTTACACTCATCACAGATCAACTGCTCCCTAGCCACAGTTGGCTTATGGCTACCACACTGGATATTACAGAATGTTCTATTGGACAGTGTTTCTCTAAGGTACCCACCATAAGGTGAAGGAATTAAGCTCTCTCCTAGGCATCTAGAATGGTACTAGTTATGTACTATCCCTAGGAGAATTGAGAAAATAGTTACTCAAGTCATTTTCCATGTTCTGAGACTTGGAAAAAGAACCTTGGTTGAGAAAGGCTAGATTCCCCTTTAGTTTACAGATCAGAAAACTGAGGTCTAAGAGGAAGAAGAAATCAATGAAGTTGCAAAGAGTTCAGGTCTCTTGGTTCCCAGTCCAGCATTCTTTCTACTATACACCACAGTTCATTGTTCAGAAAACTGAAACCATCTAGTCAACACATGTTTGCAAGACAGATAAAAATAAAGGAGTTAAAAAAGCCAGGGGTGGCCTTGAATTATTTATTCAGTTGCCCATGTGTGAGGACCCAGGCGGTGGGAGGATCTGAGTATGTTTTTTTAAGGAAAACCCTTGTATTCTCTTAGCCCACAGATGTGAGGAACAGCAGGAGGACATGAGGATGGCCAGGGGCTAGAGGTTGGCATTGATGAATGTAGTGGAACACACCAGAGATTTTGCAGGGAAAGAGAATTTCAAGTAGCTCAACAGCTCTGCAAAACTTTGTACAAGATGGGAGCTAGTATTTCCTGAGCATAGAGTTGTGTGTGCTAGGCATATCACAGATGTCATCTTATTAAATTCCCCACAGAGGACAGATGGAGTGGGTATGGTTAGCACTTTTTATGGGAGAAGACTCAAGAAGGCCAGAAAGGATCAGAGAGGTGAGACAATTTGCCCAAGGTCCCCTAGGCTGGGAGTGGTAAAGCTGAGACTGGAATACAGACCGCTTAACATCAAAGCTTGTGCACTTTGTACTAAGCCAATTTCCATGAGTATGAACTCCTTGTATATGGGAGACCAATAGATTCATTTCTTTTACAACAATTTATTGAACTTGCTGACCTACTTCCTTCTGTCATAGACTATAGTCTACATAGCTGTTAACCCTAATTAGATATGTTTCTAAAATGTCAGTTTTAATTTAACATATGATAACTCCATTATGAAATCTTAGACTGAACAGAATAGCTATTGTATAAGCCTCAAGTACCAACTGACTATAGGTTATTAAAAACATGCTGATTGAAGCTGAGGGCCCCATGTAATAGAGACATATCTCATTACACAACAATTAACCCTCCAATAGGTTTCCAACAATCAGATGGTATTTATTTAATGGACAATAACTGCTTTATGAAATACAAATTGAATACACACACAGGAAGCTTCATTTACAAAACTTTCATTTTTAAGTGGAATCGAGGCCAAGGCTTGACCAAAAGTCTGATACTTCTCATTGCCACAGAAAAAATAAATAAATCTACAGGCTGCTGGAAAGACTGCTCTGAAGTGTCATATGAGGTTTCCCAAACCCAGCTCTGAGCTCCCAGTGAGGGCGGCTGGGGCAGAGGAAGGGGGTGTCTACAGAGCGTCTAAGGAGTGCATTTCCTTTCTCCATGATCACATTCATCCAGCTGTCAAAAGAAGGTTCTAGATTCAAGGACTGATAGTACTGAAGGGAAATTGGAGCCTGAATTTAATTGTGATGCCATGATCTAATATGTTTTTATGCACACACACACATACTTGTGAGAGTTCCTTGCCACATTTTATGGCCTTTATGAAGGGGAGAGTAACACCTCCTTCATAATTCAAGGTTTGGAAAAACTTAATGAAAGAACATGCGAGCCTGAGATCAGACACTGCAAAATGTGAGTCCGAACCTGGCTCCCACCACTTTCTGTGGGCTTTTGGCCTCATTGAACTCCAATCCCTTCCTCATCTGGCAAATGAAGAAGTTGATTCCCCTTTTACAGAAATTACCGAAAAGCTGAAATGAGACTCTGTACAGCAAGCATTTAGTACTGAATCCAGAGCAGAGTCAGCACTTGAGAAACAGCATGCACAACCATTGAGTAATATTAATTCATCATCAGCTGGTTATTATTTCCACCATTGTCAATATTGTATTATCATTACTGGATAAAACATTCCCAAGAAGGGCTGGGAGGGGGCAAAAATACTAATCCACACTAATTTATAGCCAAATTCCAGCCAAATTAAATGTCAACATGTTAGTACATTTTCATGATCCTTTAAAATCCCCTAAAGTTTCAGCACCTTGGGGAGACCCAATGTGGAAAGGCACCACAAGAAATGATTTCATTCATGTTTCCACCTTCAGAACACTGAGGCATCATTGGACCCACCTTTCAGTGGAGTATAAGATGGAGGGGGAGAAATTGACTTGCCCAAGGCCATACCGCTAGTAAGGGACTGACAGAAGCTTAACTAAGGCACCTTGTTCTTCTAAAAATTCTAACTTCAGTTCTATTAAACAACAAAGGCAAAGATTCTCATTATACAAAAATACATGTGTGTGTGTATACACACACACACACACACATATATATACACACACATATACTGTGCATATATATATATGCATGTGTACCCTTCATGTATAATGTACCCTTCTTATATTGTACTACGTGTATACAAAGGTGTTAGCTCATTAACCAGAGGCAAGTTAAACGCCCAAGCTCATGAGATGAGACCAGTACTTCCATCCCAGACAAGGTTCAGGCAACAGAAGTTTCCAGGTTTTTAACAATAAAATAAAGCTTAATATTCACCACATGAATTATGCATCATTACTCATTAATTTCTGTTAGCAATCATTTATGTACTCCCCGATCGCCAAATCTACAACATGTCTAAATGGAGCAGTTGCTGCGCTAGTGAGTCCTTGAGTGAGTCTTAGTCCCTTACTTGGGTTCAACTCTGTGCGACCCCAGGGACTGTAGCCCACCAGGCAGGCTCCTCTGACCATGGGATTCTCCAGGCAAGAATACTGGAGTGGGTTGCCATGTCCTTCTCCAGGGGATCCTCCCAACCCAGGGATCGAACCCAGGTCTCCTGCATTGCGGGCAGATTCTTTACCATCTGGGCACTTGTGGGCACTTGTTAAACAAGATCAACAATAAAAGACACAGCGAAATCCCTCTCCAAGGCTGCTTCTCTTCCAAATTTCCCTCTTCTTGGCCAGAGAGAGAGAGAGAGGGATCAACACTTCGCAGGCCACACTCACCTTTCAAAGAAGTGGCCGTCGATGGGAGGGAACCACTCCAGCATCACAGAGTCGGCCGTGTGGCTCACGACCTGGGGGGCGAGGGCGATGGGCGCCGGCTTCCTGGAGAGCTGCCAGCCCTGGTACACCAGGTCCAGGTAACAGTGCATCCTGGCGACCTGATTGGGCGTGAAGGAGTCCGTGCAGTCGTCATCTGCAAGCAGGCAGAGGGAGAAATAAGCACCTCGTTGCACGCACAGACAGGCAAGAGAATGATGATGCCTCCCGGGCGGCCCGGAAGCCAGCACCCTGCCCCTGCCAGCTCAGAGCCGGCCTCTTCCAGTGCTCAGGAGTTAATGGTCTGTGAACAAATTAGTGCGGTCATCACTTCTGCAGACAGGTGAGAGGGAGCATTAGGAGCGGGAGAGTGGATGAGACTGAAAAGGCAAGTCTGAGCCTGGAGCGGGAGGTCACGGGCAAGGACAAGGGCAAGAAGAGCTGCTTTCCACGGGCCCCCATCCACCAGTCAGTAAGTTACACAGCCCTTCACACCTCCCTCTCCAGCCAACCAGTCAATATCTCTCACTCATCCACTCGTGTCCTGTCTATTTGCTCTCTCATTCTTTCACATGCTTACTTGTTCCTTCACTCCCACCTTCACATTTGTTCATCGGCTCATTCATTGATTCCGCTCCTTACTAATGCAGCAATGCCGCCTTCCAAACCAGCCTTCAGAGCATTGATTGTACACACTCTGCTCCAAGCCCAGGGCGACAGAAACCTACAACGCTCCTGCCGTTGGGGAGCTACCAGTCTAGCTATAGAGCAAAGGTCAGTTCACTGCGTGGCTCAAGGTGGTTACAAGGCTGTTCAAGTCTGTGACGCCAGTCCCTGACGACAAGGAGATGGTGTGGCGAGGAAGACAGAGAAACTGGAGAGGCTTCTAGGGGAAGTCCTGGAGGTCAACCAGGTTACACCGTTAAGACTGGGGAAGAAGACGAGGGATGGCAGAAGGGGCCGCTCAGGACCACAGAAGCGATGAGCCCTGGGCAGTGAGCAAAGGAGTCCAGGCTCGGCGTCCAGGCTTCAGTGTCCACGGCAGGAATGCAAGGACCTTCTGCACAGTGCTGTCACTGGGACACAGACTGTGGGCTTAGCACATGCTTCGTACACGGGATACTGTGCTTTGGGCACGTGTAACTCTCCCATTAGTTTTGGAGTAAATACTCGGATCGCTCCACTTCACAGAGGAGGAAGCTGAGGCTGAGAGAGGTCTCACTATCTTTTTTTTTTTTTTCATTTATTTATCTCACTACTTTTTAAAGATCACAGAGCTAGACACGGGTCTGAGATGTGAACCCAGGCAGTCTTGACTCCAAGGCCACGTTTCTAATCAATATGAGAACTTTTTTCTGAGTGTCCATGAGACTTGTATGAACAAAGTGTCCCGCAGGTGTTTGATAAACAGGAGTTGAGCCTGAGTCAGAGGGGACTGGAATACAATCTCATCTCTGAATGTCTTTAGATCTAATGACCTTCAGCTCTACCCTCTGTTTTCTAGGATGTGGACTGAAGGCCACGACCCGAGACTCTTCCCTGCCAAGGAGGAAGCTTGCCTCCCGTCTCTCCCTCCAACAGCTTTATTCAGCTGCCCCAGGGGCAGATCAAGGCACTGTTTTGGCTTGATTTCCAAAAACACCACTTCCCAGAGGTGTCCGCCTGGCCAGGGATTCTGCAGCTGGGCCCCAGACGGAGGAGAACGGGGCTCGCCAGATCTTAAAATAAACCCACCATGGGAATTCCGCAGCATAAACTCACTTTCTCTTATCAAACAAACAGAAAATAAGTTTGGGCAGGTGCTGGGCAGTTGGACATGACCTTGAGAATCCAGCTTGGGGAAGGGATAGGAGTGTGAGGAGGTTATACACAGAAGCTGCCTCTGATCCCCTTAGCAATTTTTGACGGTCTCCTTGCCAACACCCTGGGGAAGACTTTTATACATCTGGAAGCAGAAGAGTCCCGAGTCCTTTGGAGAACACCACCGAAGAATGACTAGTTGCACAAACCACTCTCAAGCTCAGGTACCTCCATGTAACTCCTTGGATATAAAACATGCTACGGGTTGCTTTTGCCTGGAAAATAAGAATCCAAATGCCCCCAATGGTCTAAGAAGGACTGGATGGTCTGGTACATTTTCCTTTGTTACCGTGGACTTTGTACGTCATCCCGAAAGCTTTGGAAAAGCCACTAAATAGGTTAAAAGCAGGAGAAGGGCATGTTGGCTAAAGAAGTAAGGGTTATGCAGTTAGATTCATGTATGGATGATCTGGTGATTTGTGAATGATCTGGAGTCACTGTGCCTCGGTTTCCCCACCTGTAAAGTGGAGATACTGATGATAACAAGAGTGCTGGTGTCAGAATGCTGCTGATGGTCACAGAAAGTGTAGCATCAAGAAGCGCCATCAATGCTCAGCGAATGCTCACTGCCTCGGGACCTGGGATAGAGCAGGCACCTCTGTGTGCATGCGTGCTTGTGTGCGTGCATGCCTGTGTGCACACGGACACTAATGTGGGCGAGTGTTAGGAAACTAGAAACAGGAAAAAAACCAGAATGTAAAATAGTCATTCTTTTTGATTTTGCAACATTGCATTTAGGAATTCGATAGATTGCTACTCATGAACAAACATGAGGGAAATCATATATACAAGGACATCTTTTGAAATATCATTTACATAGAAAAAAACGCTAGAAATAACACATCTGTCTATTAATAGGGGGAGGACTCTGTACATTAAGGCGCATGCACAGAACAGAATTCTAATCAGTCATTTCCCAAACAAGGAAGTAACTCTAAAACTCAGGCCCCTTGTGTGTAAGTTGGGGACATTTAAATCAACCCCACAACCTAGAGTGATGGTGTGGCTTCCATGAGCTGGAGCACACATAGCATTTATCTAGATGAACGAGAGAAAAAAACAACAATTTGCTTTCCTCTCTATATTCTGATTTGTTTGGTTTTCTTCATCCAAAGGAGTTACTTTCCTTTTATAACTTAAAAATTAGCCATTTCCATGTCTGCCAATTTAAAAGTTTGCAAAATGGGTAGGTGACAGAAGCTGGTAGGAGGACAGAACTGTACCTGAACTTTAAAACTGAAGTCAGAAAACATTCCTCCCAGAGACAGATCACTTAGAGACTGAACCGCTGCCAGAATCTTGGGTGAGGTACCAAAGGCTTTCTGTCGATCATAAAGGCTCTGCCCCAATTAGCTGACGTTTCGAGCTGGCCCCTCTTAGCTCCTGCCTCCACAGGCTTCCCGTCCTGACACCTGTGACCCCTTCATCCTGCTCTCTAGGACCATCCAACCGATCCCATTCTTCTGTCCCCACGCTGTCTCCAACCAGAGGGGACGTGGGGTACTTCAGTATTCTGGGAGGCTACACCAGTCCCCAGGCTGTGGATGCTGTGCTGCGAGTTTGCAATTTAAACTTTGTTCTCAAGAACAATTTCCACCTGCACATGGAAGGCCACACGGCAGGGAGGTTCAGGGCCTCCGCTTCCTGTGGAGCCTCAGACACAGTGCTGATCCCTGACAGCCTTGCTTCCACCCACTGTGAAACAGGGACTCAGGATCCTACCTGCCTTCTACAGCCAAGGAAAGCATGCAACTAGCTCACCCATTTCTAGTGCATGAATAACTGATGGCTTTGTTGTTTTAAAAACAATGATAATAACAGTAACAGCAACAGATGATTATATCCACTGCAGAACACTTGGTATGTGCCAAGCATGTTACAAAGAAATAAACATCAACCTAAATACACTAAAAAAAATCTAGTGTATGTGTATGTGTAGACGGATATGAATATCTATAGTGGATTTCTGTGATTCTTATCATCACAAACATCATATGTATGTACATATACACATACACACAAACATACACATATTTGTGATGAGATATGATACATGTGCCAGGCCTTATACTGTACATTAAGTTCTGCAGTGTTTTCACAATCAACAGATAATCCTGCTAATCATCACTTACTGAGCGCTAGTTTTGGTACCAAGGACAGTTCTAAGTCCTTCACCTGTATGACTGGCATGCAAGGTGAGGGTGATTGTCCCCCATGTGCCAGTGAAGGAACAGGCTTAGACAGAAGTGACTTGCCTAAGGTCAAAGTCAAAGGCTACCACGCAGAGGATTCAAGTTGGTTCTCACACTCTAGACTTCATGCTCTGAACCACTATGTTCCTATCAACCGTCTGCTACATCATCTTTAGTGATCACAGGATGTTCTGTCATGTGAGTGCCTTGTGATTTATTTCAACAACCCATTCTCTTTGGATTCGTAAGACGCTTCTAATTTTTCACACGTGTAAGCATTTCTCTTCTATGCCTATTACACACTTCAATTAGTAAATGTCTAATTAATACGTGGAGGAAAAAACATTGCTAAAAACATTTTTCGGATGAAATCTTTAAACACATTAACAGATTTATTTCCTTAAGACATACTTCTTAGAGGTGGGGCTGCCGTGTCAAAGCTTATGTGCATATTAAAAGGAACACACAGAACAGCAGTGACAAGACACTTGCTCCCATAGCTGGGGAAGGCCTGGTTTCTGCACTCTTGAGGAAGCTGGGCTTGGAGGCCCTCTTAGTGGGTACCTTGTGGCATACTGTCTTCAGGAAGTAAGAGTCTGAACTGCCCTCTTTCTATCTGACTGAGGATTAGCCAACAGCTCAACGTGACCGCACTCACCTGGTGCTTGACTAGGCTTGTCCCTAGCACCTGCCTGGTGTCTGCTTAATCTGAGCAGTTGGGACACTCTCAAACTCCTCCAGTGTCAGAAAGGGAGCCAGATAATTGTTGCTTAAATGCAGGCTCTGCCAAGAAAGGCATGCCTTGTTTTTGCCATGTGACCCTGGGAACACGACAAGTTCCCTAAGCCATACTTTCTCCATCTGTAAAGTGGGTACAGTAGTAATAGCACTTATCCCATTGGGCTATTTAGACGTTTCAATGAGACAAGCCTATGGAGCATTGCCCACAGTGTCTGGTATGTCGTAGACACTTTGTAGTTTCTGCAGATTTGCCACCAGCCATGTTCAATTCGTTACAGTCTTAGGACTAACAATTAATTCAGGTCCTCAGCTTCACTCTCCTTGCTCAATAGCCACAAGTGGCTGATGGCTACCATGCAGGTCAACACAAACACAGAACACACCCATCTTCTGTAAAAAGCCAGAGCACTTGAAGGGAAGGAACTCTAAGCAGCTGACCCAGCAAGGTCTCTACCCTCTTGTCGTGACTGCAAAGCCCCCGTGGGTCCCTCTCCCCAGCCCTGAGAACCCGATCCTGGTCTGCATTTTGAATTTCATCCAGCTGCTTTTGTCACCTCATCTATCAGAGATCCTAAGAAAAACAAACATTTCAAAGCTCGTGGTCGCCTTGAATATGCTCTTGCGGGTGTAAGTTTGTTATCATAACTCAGTGAATTAGTTCTGCCGTTAATGGGTCACTGAGCTGAGGGGTTCCTTTAAAAAAGCAACATTAAATCAATCACCCTTTAGATCTGTACAAAGGGGAACAACCACAAAAAAAAGATTTAGTTTATGGGGGTCCGGTAGCGAGTGGCAGCTCCTGGCCCCTAAGAGGCCGGCAAACTTCCAAACTCATGTTATTGTTTATTTTCCATGCGCGCGGAGCTGGCCAAGGCAAGGTGCTGTAGAAATGGAACTTAGGCAGGGCTCTGGGAGGGGACGGGACACCGGATGCGGATGCCGGGTCGGCTGGGAATGGGAGCATGGCAGAAATCTGCTTTTGAGGAAATTCCTAGCACTCAGGTCTTTTTTAGAGACCCCAAGCTAGGGGCTGTTTATGGCGCCAAGGGTGGGTGCTGACCATTCAAGAGACTTCGGGCGTGAACTGTATGAACCTTAAGCTGGAGATGCCCCCGGAGGTCGTTCAGTCAAAATAGGAAGCTGGGAAGACCCACAGGCAGTCATGGAACCCACTGGATTTCAGGAGGGACAGCCTCTCTTCGAATGCAATCTGAGGCAAAACCCCATCAGAAACGGAAACTGCTAGAAGTGGGCTCCCCTGGTTTAAGCAGAGATGGAGGCCCAGGGTCACACAGCCACTCAGAGTGCCCCTACCTCCCTGACCATGATCTCTCTGGCACGGACTCGAAAACCACCCAAATCGCTCACTATCCCATCCAGCCGTCAGCTAGGTCTCATTGGAAGAGTGGCGTGAGGGCAAAAGGCAAGAAATGGCCAGCTGTGAAATGGGGGTGGTTCCAGCCCCATCGGCTTGTTGAGAGAATTAAACAAGACTGCACACAGTAAAGTCCTTTATGAACAATAACCTTTTAATTTTTTTTTTGAAACCTTTGGGCTGTGCTGCATGGTATGTGGGATCTTAAGTTTCCTGCCCAGGAATCGAACCCACGTCTCCTGCATTGGCAGCATGGAGCCTTAACCACTGGACCACCAAGGAAGTCCCATGAAGAGTAAACTTTAAGTAGAAATATTGCTATACCAATCAACTTTATATACCTGTTGTTGGAGAATTTATTCATATTCCTCCCTACTTGCCGTTCTTCTTCCCTTTCTCCCTCCTTCCTCCCTTCCTTCTTAGCAAACATTTTTTAAAAACACAAGGGGTGTGCTAGGTGCAGAGAGAACAGTGATGTCTTAGAGACAATCGCTGCCTTCAGAGAGCTCACTTGCTTTGGTGGTAGAAAGAAACACCTAAATTGAATATTGTAATAGATCTGGATACTCAGCTAACTCACACAAGCATCTGGTGCTTTACTCAAAGTCTCTTGGCCTAGGGGAAAGGCTGCAACTGTCCTAAGAAAGGGGTATCTCGTGCGTTCTTTTTAAGATTTTTTTTAATGCGGATCATTTTGAAAGTCTTTACTGAATTTGTTACAATATTGCTTTTATGTTTTTTTGTTTTCCTGTCCCGGAGGCATATGGGATGTTAGCTCCCCAACCGGGGATTGAACCTGCACGCCCTGCATTGGAAGCTGAAATCTTAACCACTGGACTAACAGGGAAGTCCCAGGATAGCTTGTTCTAATTTTCCAAAGATGTTATCAGGACTAGAGCTGATCTTGATATACACTAAAAGGAACTGTAGGGGATCTTGGAATGTAAAGAATGAGTTATTAACACTGTTATCGATAGTATTAAAAAGGACTCTGAGCGGGTATATGCAGTGAGGGAAAAAACAAACCCATCTCACGTAATAATTTCATTATTTGTAAAACCAAAAGAATTCTACTTTATTGTAATAAAACAGTAAAAGAGCATGTGAAAATTTTGTGGTTTTTTTAAGTTTCAGCAACCACCAGCTTAGAAAACTATAGCTGCAAAAGTAGGAGAAACCTCAGAGATCAATTCCAGAGTTTCCATTTTCTTGAGAAAAGTGGGACCCAGAGATGGGAAGTGACGGACCCCAAGGCAGCAGGCGACTTAGCAGCAGAACCTGACCTTCTACTCAGGTTTGCTGACTTTTAGTCCTGGTCAGCTTCCTAAAGTATCTTTCTGAGGAGCTTTTAGATACAACATCTTCCTTGCATCCCTGAGGTACTCATGGAAGGCACAGGTACTCGATTATTTGGGATGAGGACTCGTTGGGATGAAGAGGCTTAGGAAAGAGAGGCAGCCTGCTTGAGCCAGGCTGGGAGGCCACATCTAACACTCTGGCACTCTGGTGCAGGGTGTGGGCCTGCAGAGTGTGGGCCTTACCTGCGTAGCTCATGAAGTTGTTATATGGAGTGTTGAAGAAGCTGTTGAAGCCGCACGTGTCGTTCCCTGGCCCCGGGTCACCGCAGAACTTGTGTTTCGGAGCTGGGTTGGTGTCACTGCAGAGATCTCCGGTCTCATAGGAGGGCTCGGTCTCCATGCAGGGGTCGCTGCAAGACTGGATTTCCGAGATGCCTCGGAAGATGTGGTAGAGGCCCAGGCTGTGCCCAATCTCATGGATCATGGTGTGGGTGTGCCCAGGGATGCCGTAGAAAGATGGATTCAAGACGATGCCACCTGCCAGGGGGAAGTCAGAATGTTAGGCGAACTGGGCACCCTGCTTCCTGCTGCAGGAGTCCCCAGATCCCTCAAGGGGAAACGGGGCATGGCCCAAAGTAACCACAGTCTCCTCCACCCTATGACTCCACGGCTGAGAGCCGTTCTGACTTGTGGCATGAATCACTGATGGAGTAGGAAGAAGTCTCAAAGTCATTTTGTGCAATCCCTTCATTTTTCAGTTGAAAACACCGACACCTAAAGAAGCAAGGCAACTTACTCAAGAGGATTTCAAACTACTTAGAAGTAGTGGCATGATTATAATTTGAGGACTTTGATTTCTGGACTGGCAAAGATTTCAGCTGCAACTTCTTAGGAAGTAAGGCATGCCCCAGTTTATGAATATTCTACACAAATTGTTTAAATGAAACTCTCAAGCCCTGACACCTTGGTTCCAGCTCTCATGTTGCCTTCACTAATGATGTGAAGTTGAACAAGTTGATTGCCATCTCTGAATCCCATTTTTGAAGTTCTATACCCTACGAAAGCGCGTGTTCATAATGGCCAGCACTGTGGCGTGTTCATCATTGTAACACTGATAACAGTCAGTGTTTCCTGAGCATTTACTAGGTATTTTCAGGCCTTGTGTTCAATGTTGCATGTGTGTAAGCACACTTAATCATCTCACAACCCCACGCGAGGGACACTGACTCACAGAGAGGTGAAATAACCGGCCTATGATCGAATTAGTGAGTTCTGATCTGAACCCAAGATCCTTGGGTTTCAAAGTGAGGGGTCTTAATCAGTTCTGCTGCTAATGCCCACCACAGGCGCAGAGTGTGGCATCTCATTAAGTAAATGTTGAATGCCATTAAGTAGCTGCTGAATGCCAACCCAGTGTGAGGTTGTGAGGCCTAAGTAATTGCGTGTAAGTAGCCAGCACAGCACCTTACACACAGCAAGTGCCTTGTTTACTGTCTAGCCACTTGCTACCCCAAGTGCACCCCAAAAACGAGCAGCATCAGCTTCACCTGGAGGGGATCAGAAATGTAGACTCTTAGGCCCCACCCCAGACCTACAGAATCAAAATATTAAGTCTTTTACCAACAGCCCCAGATGACTTGCCTGTATGTTCTAGTTTGAGAAGCAATAAGGCACCCCACATGTCTTAAAAGAATGATCGTTCCTTCCCTTGGGCAGATAGATGGATCAGACCTCAGGGAAACCAATGGATGGCATGGTTCTGTGCTTGTTTTTAGCTACTGGAGAAAGACATACAGGTTGGCAGATAGATATTTCAGCTGGAAAATCCAAGTGTGTTTAAGGGAAGGTTAAGCTTCAAGTCCGAGGACAGAGGGATGGATAAAGAAGATGTGGCACATATTTACAACGGAATACTATTCAGCCACTAAAAAGAATGAAATAATGCCATCGGCAGCAACATGGATGGGCCTAGAGATTGTCTTATTGAGTGAAGCAAGTCAGGCAGAAATGGAGAAATATTGTACGACAGCCTTTATATGTGGAATCTAAAAGGAAATGATACAAAATGAACTTAGAACACAGAAAGAGACTCACGGACTTAAGAGAATGTACACATGGTTGCTGGGGGAAAGGACTAGTTAGGGAGTTTGGGATGGTCATGTACATACGGCTATATTCCAAATGGATAACCAACAAGGACCTACTGAATAGCACAGGCAACTCTGCTCAATGTTATGCGACAGTCTAGATGGGAGGGGAGAACGGCTATCAGGATATGCATGGCTGAGTCTCTTCGTTGTTCACCTGAACCCATCACAACATTGTTAATCAGCTATACCCCCCAAACAAAATAAAAAGTTTAAAAAAAAAAAAGGAAAAGCTTCACATCTGAGCAATTAAGTGCAGAGCAGCACAGTATAGGAGAATGGTGAGGAGGGAGGCCCTTGCTATTCTCTGCTGACAAGCCTGGAGCAGGCATGGGGGGAGTTTTATCTCAGACTGAACTGCTGGGAGGGCGAGCTTGCTCAGTCATGGGGCTCACGGAGTCGATTAATTCTGAGCTGCTCAGAGCCTTCCAGCACAAAGATAAAGATGTACGAGGGGGTGTGTGTGCTTGCACGTGTATATGTGAGAAGCGGCAGGCAGAGGCAGGGAGGAAGAGAAATTGAGACAGGAAATCTCTCTCAATTATTTTCTGTCAATCATAATATGAAACATAATCCCCTTCCCACCCAAGGCTTTTTCCAGGGATCATGGTGTAACAGCAGGAAAAGAGGGTGTGTATATATGATTCTAATAAATTGGGTTTGATTGGGCCTACTGCAGAGGACCTGCTCAGGATCAGCATGTCTCAGGACGGAGAGGTGGCAGCCTGGGAAGCCGGCTGGAGTTGCAATCTTCATTCTGTTTCGCAATGGCTGTGTGATCTTGAGAAAGTAACTTTGCACCTCTGGCATGTTCTGAAATAAGCAACAGCAGCAGCACCAGAACACCAAAGATTCTCAGTCTCTCTGTGAAGCTTGTAATGTTGGGGTCAATGGAGAACGAAGTGGGGGACGGCGGTGCTGGCAGGACCCCACAGGTGTTTCCAGGGGATAATGATAGGATTACAGGCTCGATGTCCAGGCTGGGTCTCCCAGGCTCCCCTCTTCACAGAGCAACAGCACAGAGCTTGAGTCCTGTTTCACTGCTTCTCTTTAAGGTGAAATAGCTTGAGGCTGACATCACCCTGAAATACTATAACATGCTATGGATTTATAGCCTTCTGTATTCCTGGTCCTCAGCCAGTCTCTGAAGTTCATGGAATTATCAGGAGTATTTCTCTCTCACTGTAGAAACTTGCTGCTCAACCCTTCTAAGCCTCTAATCATGACCCTTTTGGTTGATTTTTCAAAAGGAGAGAATTTCAGTCCTGAGAAGGGTCTTCAGGGGCCCTCTAGTCTAACTTACTCACTTAAAATCTGAAGACATCGAGACCTGGAGAAGGAAAGAGACTTGCCTAAGGCCATCCTGCGAAGTCAAGTCACAGCTGAGAACAAGCCTGTATGTTGGCTTTGAGCCAGCAAGATTCCCATACATCATGTAGGCATGTGATATGAGCTAATCAGCTTCAGCTTGCCTAAGCTGCACACTCTCTCACCCAGCCCCTGTCTGTCTAGGTCTGTCTGTCTATCCATCCATCATCTATCTCATGGTTTCTCAACAACAGCACTGCTGGTATTCGAGGCCGGGTAACTCTTCATCGTGGGTATCACAGGGGATCCAGCAACATTGCTGGCCTCTACCCACTCGATACCAATAGCATTCCCCCATTTGTGAAATCCAAAAACTTCACTCGACCTTGTCAAATGTCTCCCAGGGCATAAACATCCCGCAGCTGAGAACTGCCAGCTATTTATTGCTGTCTCCATCTCTACACAACCACACATGTGTGTGTATGCACTCACACACACACGGACATACAAACTGATTTCACTCTCTTAAAAACAACTAGCAGCAGATAGTGCACTGGAGCGAACTAAGTCTAGAAGTTGACTCAACACAACTTTATTGTTTGAAGTTGCAAAGCCCCTCAGCTCCAAGATATTGTGGATTTAGAGCAGCTACTGGACTCCGGCTGTATCACTGGAAAATCGGACAGGCCTGAGGAAAGATCCAGCACTATCACTCTGCTGAGTCCTGACATTCTCAGAAAAAGGTGCCCATTGAGTCATTACTATTCACTGGTGTAAATAATAGGAACGTTCTGACACAGGCAAAAGAGCTAGATAAACTGGAGTGCCCTCGCTAAATGGCATATTGTTGGTATTTGGTCACTAGGTTGCGTCTGACTCTTTTGCAACCCCATGGGTTACATAGCCTGCCAGGCTCCTCTGTCCATGGGATTTCCCAGGCAAGAATACTGGAGTGGGTTGCCATTTCTTTCTTCAGGGGATCTTCCTGAGCCAGGGATCAAGGCTATCTCTCCTGCTTTGGCAGGCAGATTCCTCACCACTGAGCCGCCGGGGACACCCCCAAAAGCATTTTACATGGCCATTAAAAATCCTGGTCTTTAGAGAACTGGACATAACTCAGAGAGAGCCTTCTCTCTTGTGATGTTACGTGAAAAAACAAACAAACAAACAACAGCTGGATAAGGAGTAACTTTGAAGATTGTTGCAACATGGGAAAATGTAGATGGCATAATATTAAGTGGGAAAAAAAAAGAACACAAATTTGCATCTATGCTATGATTTCAGATACGCACAAGTTAAGAAATGCATATCTACATACAGATGCGTACTGGTAGAGAACATGGAAAAGCTGAAATTAAAGGACAACAGTGTTTGCTTACAGGGCCGGGTTCAGAAACCATTGTCATTTCTGACTTTTGGTGATTGGCTTGTGTAAACACGCGTCTTGTTTACGGATGCGCATAATGTGAATGTAAGAAGAATTCCTGGTGGTGCTGGTGGATGGAACATGGAGGAACAGGGAGTTCTTGCAAACTCTTTGTTTCCTCCTTTCAAGCCAACCCATCGCAGGCTGGCCCAGCACAAAGCTGTTATTAGGCTGAGAAGACACTTGCATGAATGAAGAGGCAGGGGGTATATGGAGAAAGCAATCAGTGAACAGAGTCGGAAACCTAAATTCCAATTGTGGTTCTGCCCCTGATTTGGGTGTGACCTTACCCTTTGCTCTCCAGATCTTAGTTCCTCCACTGGTAGAACAGAATAAACAGTATTGGGTTATTGTTCAGAGCCTCACTTGATGGCTGACAGATAAGGAATGCTCAAGAGTTTTGCAATATCAAAACAGATCAATAACTAAGTTGTTCACCGTCATCACCACCACGATCATCATCAGAACTGTGACCCCCATCATCATCCTCACTAATCAGTGTATGCCTGTACCAATCCAACTTCTTCCTGAAGAAGTTTCCAGTTCTCACCTAAGTGCATCAGGGCCTCCTTGTCCCATGGCCAAGTTGCTACTCCTGCCAATTCCTCCTCCGAGGAGTTTGCAAAGAAGATGTTGAGGTGTGTCGATCCATCCAGTCTAAGAATGTTCTTCATCTCATTAACATCCACGTATGCTCTGTAAGAGAAAAAGAACCTTGGCTGTCATCACCATCCAAAAAAAAGGTACTATTCAAATAACAGGTACTCCCAGATTAACTGAGTCACACCATGTGCCAGGCACCTGGCTAAACACTTTATAAACACGACCTCATTGGCTTCCCCCAATAACATGATACAGTAGGTGAGGGGATCCCATGGTATAAACAAACAAACAAAAAAATGTCCTTGTGAGTTTGAGAAACTTGAAGTTTTCTCAGCTTATCAACGATAGCAGTGTTCAGTTTAGAACCTCAGTCAATCTAAAGGCAACAACTGTGTCCCTAGGGACTCTGCTATATTGACTGATGACAGGGCAACATAATACGGACATAGATCGAGAACGGACCACGGAAGAGATAACACATATTATAATCCTGGCTTCTTCTCTACTTCATTCACTATGGACCTTGGACCATTTATTAGGCAAACACAAGCTACACTGGGAGGCCTGCTTTGCATCTCTATTCCCATCTTGCAAGGGGGTGTTATTATTCTGTTCTCAAGATAAGCAACATGTGGTCCAAAGTGATTAAACAGGTTGCCCAGAGTTGCAGAACTTGGTTTCAAGGTCAATTCTGTCTGGCTTGGAAACATATGTTCCTTTCACTGGGGCACTATCTACCTCCCATAGATGATTCTGCACTCTGTAAGCCTTTATTACTTTGTCCATAAAATAGGCCAAGGTATATAACACATTGGAGGCAGTCATCAGTGCAGAAACCTAGAATATATACTGATGCATTTGGAAAGTGGATTATTTCAGCACACTGTCATCATTAGCTCTTTAACACACCAAACAAGCATGTCAGACAGAAAGAAATGGCCTTGAGAAAGAGACTGGCATATCCCAGGTGCTCAATAAATAAGAACATTCCCCTTGTGGAGTACGACTCTCCCTTCAGAACAGGAATTATAAAGCTTAGGGCCAGTCACAGACTCAATGGATCACAGAGAGAGTTATCTTACCCACCGTCACGCTTCTTTCAGGTGGCGCTAGAGGTAAAGAACGCGCCTGCAATGCAGGAGACACAGGTTCGATCCCTGGGTCAGGAAGATCCCCTGCAGAAGGGCATGGCTACCGACTCCAGTATCCTTGCCTGGAGAATACTAGAGCCTGGAGGGCTGCAGTCCATGGAGTCGCAAAGAGTTGGATATGACTGAAGTGAGTTAGCATGCATATGAGCATGTTCTCTCTTAGGATCCTTGTGAACAGCCAATAAGCATTTTTGGAGTAAAGTTAGAAATGAATCAATGAACAAAAACATATAGAAATAAACAAGCAGGCAGCCTGGTGTAGTAGGTGAGATAAAGCCTGTGAATAATGATCTTTAGTGGTTCAGATGGTAAAGAATCTGCCTGCAATTTGGGAGACCCAGGTTCAATCCCTGGGGTGGGAAGATCATCTGGAGAAGGGAATGGCACCCCACTTCAATATTCCTGCCTGGAGAATCCCATGGACAGAGGAGCCTGGCGGGCTATTGTCCATGGGTCACAAAGAGTTGGGCATGACCGAGAGACTGACAGTGATCTTTAATATTCGCTGGGCCCTTCTCTGCGGTCTGACACTACATGGATAATCACCTTTAATCTTCATTACACTGAGGTAGGTGGTATTGTTATCCCCATTTTCCAGAAGAGGAAAAAGAGGCTCACATAACTTCAGACGTTGCTTGGGTCACACAGCTAGCTGGAATTGTTTCCCTTTCTCACCATGCTGCCTCTCAAGGGTGGGGGTGGGGGGGCTGGCACAGAGCCTGGCCAGCTAAACACTAATGATGCCACCCTTCTCGTTTCTTCCTGGAGTCACGGAAGAAGCTCCCCACATGTGAAGCAGTAAAGTCAGGGGTCCTCAGTGGGGTCTGTAGGACCTTGGCTTCCCCTTTAGCCTCGTATCACTGTTCCCTCCCCTGAATTTCCCAGTGTGTTGTCAGCAACATCTGTCTCTCCCATTCCCCCCATCATGCATCATCCTCAGATCCTTCACTCACACTGTTCCTCTCAAGGACCTAGCTCCTCTGATGAACAAATCCAACGTCTGTGCTGGTATCACTCCTCCAGGAAGCCTTCCCCGATTCCCACCTCACCTCTATCTCTTCTACTGTCTCTGCACCCCTCCACCTCCTATGAGCATGTGCACTCACACCACTCCAAATACTCCACTGGTCTGTATCTACCACTGTCTGTGGCTCCCTGGGGGCAGGGAATGTGCCTAATTCATCTCTGTTTATCACCCACTTCTCAGCACAGGGCTTGACCCTTGGCAAGCACTCAGGAGATCTGGATGGAGGAGAAAAACATTGGGAAAGAGAAAATCTAAAACATTTAGGCCCCAGTCTCAGCTGCAGCTTCCTTCCAATGAGGCTCCAACTTCCTTATCAATACACTGGGGTTAGGAGCAGACGCCCAGTGCTTCACGGGGCATTTCTGTGGGTCACGAACCTGTACCTCCACTCTGGGGGGAAGAGAATATGTCTGAAACCTACAGTGCCCTCCTGGCCCCTCCATGTGATCAAGAGCCCATGATTAGTCATGAGACCATAATTTTTCCAGCTTTTCAATTACAAAAAAAAAGCTGCACATGTGCTGGAGACACAGGCAGGGTCTACAGAGGCCACACGTGTGTCGAGGCTGAGCTGACTAGGAATTCCGGGGAGAGAGGCTGAGATGATGGCCCGAAATCTCACTGCTGCACCTCTGCTCCGCTCCGCTTCTGAGACGAGAAGCCTCATGAGGAGTTTGAATGAGTCTTCTCAGTGATCCGAGTAGAAATGAGGAAGCATAAGGACAACACATGGTAAGTTCTCACTGTATGCCAGCCCCTGTCCTAGCTACACCTGTTGTCTCACTTCTGTGCAGAATTTGAAGCCACAGGGCAGAGCAAGGAAGATGACCTGTTCTCAAGCCAAAGTCCCGGGTTTGAATCCAGCTCTTCCCCTGGATGTTTGGGTTCCCCTGGGTTATTTATTTAACTTCCTGTGTCCCCGTCTCTTTATACAGAAGATAAAGATGCTAACAGTATCCACCTCATCGAGTCATTCTGAGGATCTGGGACATTAATAAAGGAAGTGTAAAGGGCTTAGAATAATACCTCGCACACAGAAACCCTGGGTAAATGTTTAGCCATTCCTGGTATTCATCCCGGTCCTACAGATGAAGGAACAGGGGTTCAGAGATCACATAAACACTGACAAGGCCAAGTCCAAATCTCCATGTGTCCAACTCTTCCCTCAACCTCACCCTCAAACCCGAGCTCTCTCAGGACCACAGGGAAAGGAAACAAGTGGGAGTGGAATGAAAACACCGAGATGCTGAGGTTTCCCTGGATCGGCCCTTCCCACACCATTTATTATTTTCTAATTGATTTGTCCATTTCCATCTAGCACTCTCTCAGGCAGAGAACACACATGTTATTAGAGAAAGTCACCTCTTTGTTCCAGGGCTCCAGGCTGAGAAAGCTTCAGGAGAGGAAGAAAGGGGCGGGGCAGGGGCGGGGAGATGTTTTAATTGGTTGTTTACTCTGATGTAATTGCAGAAACCAATCTTTTCGGTGGGTGGTTTTCATCCTGGCCCAAGGCAGAGACGTGGGATGTTAAATAAATAGACTCTCCCTTGCTTGTATATGTTGTTGTTGTTGCTGTTGTTGGTTTTTTTTTTTGGTTTTTGTTTTTCACACTTTGAGAAGCTCCCATTTCCCTAAAGAGATTGACCCTCTCTTCTCCAGTTATCTTTTGGGGGGACCCACACAAAGGACAATAGTTGTGTGGCTAAAAGATTTTCTTCTGCTAGCTAAGGTCTTCCTGCCGGTTCAGAGCCAAGCTAGGTGTTTCCTGAAAGTATCAGGGGAAAATCTTGGGCATAGGAGTCCATGTATTTAACTTCTTCCTCCATCTCTTTAAGGTCTGTTGGATTTCCCTGGTGGCACAGTGGGTAAGAATCCACCAGTCAGAGCCGGGGACACGGGTTTGATCCCCGGTCCGGGAAGATTCCATATGCTTCGGAGCAACTAAGCCCATACTCCACAACCACTGAGCCCACAGTCCAGGGCCCACGAGCCGCAACTACTGAAGCCCACACACCAGGAGCCTCTGCTCTGCAACTAGAGAAGCCCCCGCCCTGCAACCAAGGGTAGCCCCCACTTGCCACAACTAGAGAAAGCCCGCATATAGCAACAAAGACGGTGCACTGCCAAAAACAGTTAATGTTTAAGAAAAGCTTTGTTCATCCCCTTTGTAGACGGATGGAGGAGAGAGCACAGGCGGTCACACTGAGAAGGACCATTCAGAGTTGAGGGAGACAGGTGCTAAGAGGAGGAGAAGGGTTTGCTGAGGGCCACTCGCTCTCCGTTTTGTTACCACAGGGAGGTTGGTCCCCTAGGTACACTCTAAATTGGCCAAATTTCTTTAAAAAAAGAAATTACCTCCCCCCAATTCATCTAAATCCCAAACTCTGTGTGTTTATTAATTTATGTGCAGGTTCTACTTGGCTGGACAGTAGACCCGGATCCACGGGCAAGTTGCTTCGCCTCTCTGAGTCTCAGCTATTTAGCTCATGGGGCTACCAGAGGGATGGACCAAGCCAGCTCAGCACCATCCTGGCACAGACCTGCCCCCACCACCCCACATTTTCTGGTCTCTGATTATTTTCCTTATTTCCTCCTCGTGGGAAAACCCACCTCCGGGTCACTCTCTGGTCTCAGCCTTCAGAGTCTCATGCCTACCACCCAATCTTCTCTTCCTCCCCACAACCTCCCACTCAAGTTCTTACAGTTTCCCTCATCCCAAGAACCTCTGGGTTTGCCCAATGATGCCCGTTCCTGAAGCATGCCCATCATCTCTCTTCTCTGCCTTACAAGCCCTCTTCCTGAATCTCAGCCTTTTAAATTCTTACCCTCCCTGCTAGGCTCCGTTCACATGTACTACACGCCACGTGTCCGCTCCTGACCACTCTCCCCTGTAAGATGGGGCCATGACTTCCACC